TCACCCCAGCTCGGTACTTTAAAGAAAACCCCTGGTGCCCACCAGGCGCTGCTGGACAAGGGAGAGATCCCCGCTGCCCCATACTGTATGGGGGCTCTGCATGAGCTCCCTGACCACCCCCCTGCCACCTCAGCTCTGGCCCTTTAAGAAAAAAGCCCAGAAGAGCCCCAGGACTCACCACTCCTGCAGTGGCCTCAGAGGCTTGTGCAGAGCCCCCCAGATGCCATGGGGATCACCCCCCACCAGCAGGAGCGGCAAGTCTGGGGGGGTTTCACTTTTTTTCTTTTCTTAAAGGCCCAGAGCTGGCCCAGGCAGGGCACCCGTGGGGGGTCGGGGGCTTATGCAGAGCCCCCCCACGCAGCATGGGGTAGTGGAGATTGCCCCCTGCCCAGCAGCATCTGCCGAGTCAAGGCTGCCTTTTTTTTTTTTTTGGAGTGCCAGGAGCTGGGAGAGGGGCAGGGAATGGGCCTGACCTGGCTGATTTGGAGATTCGGCAGCAACCAAATCTCCGAATCAGATTTGGCCAAATCAAATCGGGACAGTGATTTGAATCACTGTCCCCTGAATTGGTGGAATCTGAATCCGAAGCAAATATTAGCCGCTTCACACAGGCCTACTGAAAGGGTGGTTCCAAAGAAGATGGAGCTGGACTGTTCTCGGTGGTGACAGATGGCAGAACAAGGAGCAATGGTCCCAAGTTGCAGCAAGGGAAGTTTAGGTTGGATATTAGGAAAAACTCTCACTAAGCAGGTGGAGAAGCATTGAACCATGTTATGGAGAGAGGTGGTGGAATCTCCATCCTTTGGAGGTTTCTAGGCTTGGCTCTACAAAGCCCTGGCTGGAATGATCTAGTTGGGGATGGTCCTACTTTGAGCAGGAGGTGGGACAAGATACAAGACAGCTAGCCTATCAGTTATGCTCCATCTGCTGTACAAATATGAAGCAGCTGGAGGATAGACAATGGAAAAATATCTCCCGAATTACTTATTGATTGCATTGAAGAACACTAGAAATTTGAGTTGAAAACGTAATTCAGAAAAGAATGGTCAAACCGGCTAATAATAAAGAAATACCAAGACAACTGACTGTTACAACTGCCCATCAAATTATGTTTTATAGGAAAAAAGTACCACAAGATCCAGTTTAGGAGCCACTTCTTGGGTTGTAATAGCACTTCATCTTACATGACAGACCACAGTAAGCATCTTAGCCAAAAGACCATTCAAAGACTTGTATATCCCACATAAGCAGCCTTATTGCCATGAATTTGCCCTAGTTCAGTGGTTGTCAATCCTTTGAGACTACAGAAAAGGGGGAAAAAGAACAATTCTTCTGTTCCAAAGAAGTCAAAAAGACTACAATAGGTCAGATTGGCTTTGGCACCATGAATTCCTTTCTGAAGTCTCTGGGTTCATCATGTGAACCATGTTTGAATACCTAGCCGTGCTAACATTTTGTGGCACCCTGGTCCTCAAAGCAACTCCAGGGTGTTGTAGCACCTTAGTTGAGCATCTGATCCAGAAATCACCCAAGCTCTTGGAGGTGAAATTGAGAATGCTGCTTTCTGGGGCCTGGTTTGAAAAGCTGCAGAGATCGTGAGGGTGCGCATAGAGCGCACAGCCCCCTGGTCACTATATGTAGGGGCCACACAGCTCCCATAACACCTTGCAACCCACCAATTGCCATCCGCCCCAGATGAGT